GCATTCCTGTAAAGTGTATTTATAGGTCAGTGATTAAACTCTAATACACCATTCAGTTTCTGTTCAGTCAGAATTATTGCTCATATATCCTGCAAACTTCATTAAAGCTATGCTGATTATCTGAAAGAGGAGTGGGTTTTGATTCCCTTTCAACTTCCTCCATTTCAGTTCAACTTCCTCCATAAACAGCTGAGAAGTTAACCAAAAGCCACATACTACTTTGTGAGTGTGTAGTGTGTACACACACACATACACACATACACACACACACACACACATGCACACGCGCACGACAGGAAAAATGGTTGGCATCCTAAAATGTTCAGTAACAGAATACCATCCTTTTGTCCATAGCACCAGTCAACCTAACTAAATCCAACAAGAAGTAGAACCATTTTTTCCTGACACTATTCTTGAAGTAGCTTATTCCAAGTACTTCACTGTTTACCAGTATCTTAGACTATGTATGGGGCGTAGTTGGAATGAAGGAAGAAATTTGTGTTCTTACCACAATCCAAAAGTGACAGCATTCTCCTTTCCTTTCCTTTTTTTTCTTCCTTGTCCTCCAGTCACTCTTTCTCTAGCCATCTCTAATGAAAAGTGCTAGTATGGCATATTCACTTGTGCATCCAACTTCACATATTTAAATGTTCCCTGACTTACTAAAATTCTGTAGAAGGCATACTCAGCTAGAATACTAGCATTCATTCTCTCTCACTCTTATGTGCTTGGCTCAGTGTCATCTAACATATCTGTACATGTAGTCCTACTCAGCATTCTTTTTTCATACATTTTTACCTAAACCTCACCTTGATCCAACAGAAGCCATGACAGTAATAGTGAACAGGTCTAATAAACCATATCTTGATTTGTGACAATAGTACATTGAAGACTGTACATGTTGTATTATTTTCTTTATAAGCTTGTAGTTTTTACAGTGTATGAAATAAAAAAAAAAGCATTACATGGTTTTCTTTCAAAGTTTCATACACTGAGCAACAAACGGAATTTCAGTTACTTGAAAGAAGGTCTTTATGAAGCTGCTTTAGGCATGAAGATATGAAATTCCACTGGGGATGGTGAACAGCACAAGGCACTCTTTTTCCCTCCGCTGCTTTTTTCAAAGTAACTTTTTTAGCAGCTGCTGGGAGAACCTAGTGTCTGATTTGCTTGTTGTTGGGCAAGGCTTGCTTGTACAGCAGCTTCTTGGTGCAGGCTTCCAAGATTATTAAAGATCCTGCTTTTCATATGAGAAGTCTTTCCTAGATCTCTCCAATCTACTGCACTATGTAAAAGTGATAGAGTAGCTATATTAGCTTGTTTTTGCGCTCTCTCTTGATTGCTCTCTGTCTGTCTGTCTCTCTCCTGTTCCCTACATCTGCCAGGGTTGCTATTGGCCTCAATTTGTAATTGGTACATTTCTGGAATTTTTCCCAAATCGTCTAACAATAAGTTATGTTGTATACTAACTCTAAATTTAGAAGTGCTATATCAGACATACATTTCTTTTTATTCTGTGAAAACTTATCTGAGCACCTCCTATTTTTAAATATGCTATGTAATTAACCTTTTAAAATTGTTTACACTTAGTTTGCTTAGTACACTTTCAAAATATTTATTTTCCTAAATAGAAAATATTTTAACATACTTTATCTTATGTACAAAGGCAATATTGGCAACTAAATGTAAGTTAAGTAGTAATATTATGATATCTGTGGAAAAAAAATAACCTTCCAACTATGCTTATAGCACTCTATGTCTACTTTGTGTGCCTCTGTACATTTATTATGTAATATATTGGAACACACTGTAATTATATTGGCATCTACTGTAGCTGTAAAAAATGAATTATTTTGGTGAAGGTTATGTACTCCTCTCTCACAGGAAGGAACTAAGAAATATCCATGGAAAATAAAGTAAATAGTATCACTAATCTACATAGTATTTTAAAGGACAGGTTAAACAAATATTATAAAAAAAAATCTTTCCAACTTTAAGAACCCAATTTTTCAATCAAAGAAAAGAAGCACTAAAACTTACCTTTGGCTTCTACTTTCTCAAATGGCACAGAGTTGCTCAGAATGCAGAGCCAGAGGTATTTGACCCTGACCAATGGCAGTGGGATTTGGGGGCTGTGGGAGGGTGATATCATTCAAGTGGAGACCTCATCCTGAGAAGTTTCTTGGTCTTTAAACACCTTGATAGTAGTTATGCTGAAATAGATCTAAGGAAAGTCCAAGAAAAGAAATACTATAAACAAATGTAATTTTTCAGAAGTTCGAGTTTGTTACAAAAAAAAATAAAATCTGCTATTGGACGTTACTGTGCTTATCAGTATTCCTCATAAATATCAGGAACAAAGAGGAACAGTTTTACTTTTGGGGTCTATCCATTATAAATTCTACAAAATAAGACCATGCAATATATTTACACTGTATGTATTACCGCTACTCAAGGATATACTTGAATGCACACAAAAACATGGAGTTAGAAACTTGAAATAAGATGTTTAGATATTTAAAATTGATTTTATTTATAATAAAAATATTCAAATATAGACATAAAGTAAAAGCTATCTAAAGTTAAGATAAACATGACAGTAAAAGGAAGCCTAGTCAAGCTGTAACAAGGAACATATGCCATGCATCAAGATCTTCATATTTTTTAATAGATTATATGTGCTCCTTTTAACTTTGTCTGAATCCTGATCAGTTATACCAATTTGCAATAATTCAATGGAAATAGGTTGAGTTACTCTGGATTTATAATGATTAAATGGAAAGCTGTCAATAACCTGCCATGATCATGTATTTTGCCTTTGCAATTTAAAACATTTAACTATGTCTTTATTCTAAGCCAGGCTTCTGTAAGCAAGCATTGAATCGAAGAAAGATATTTCCCTCATATAAGTGCAAATCCTTATCAAACTAGATAACATTGGCCCTGACCAACAGCATTGAGGCCAATGTTGCTTCTTGTAAGTAATATTTCCCTTCTGAGTCATCATACCTGACAGTGTTTATTGAATCTAAGACTACGACAGGTATAGTCTCCTGTGTATTAAGATGTACATCTTAATATTTAATTTTGACATTTCACTGAGCATACAGGGAAAGCTACTCTTTTCAGTAATTTTTCCCCAGTCATTGGAGAGCACATCTTGTTTAAATGATATACATTGCTATCTATATATTGTCACAGAAAATTATCCAGGACAGGACAGGACAGGACCAGACAATTTCCCACATCTTATTTCTTCATATCAAAAATAGACTTCTCAATATTTTGTCTGACATGAGATATGTCAACGTATCCCTTGTCTATTTTATCTCTAATATATTTCCTATTCTGTTCTACTTGCTCTGGTAATTACATCTATAATACTGAAAATCTTACATGTCTTTCTCAGTTTCCTTAGCACCTATCACTTTTCCCTCCAGCCCTTCATTGAAATAATGTCCACAGATACTGTAAGTTAGTAGTCATATTCCATTTTGGAAAAGTAAATTCTATCCATGTATGTTTCAAGTGGATATGTATCTAGGCAACCATGTAGTGAATGTTCTGCAAAGAATGACATATGTGACTGATGACTAAAGATCTACTGAATTCGCAGCAAACATGGGCTGCACGGCAACTCCTTCAAACTTGCAGGTTTCCCCATGCCCCCTGTACCCAGTAAGGGCAGTGAGGAGAATGGTATGATCATTGAGATCACCTGTCCCAACCTTAGTTCCCCTTGTCTGCTCCTTACTGGGTACTGGAAGCTTTTCCCTTAATGGAAATCCCTCTTTACTCACTCACCGTGACTTGATATGAACAGAACACTAGGGAGGGAGGCTCCAATGATAGATGGTATCTTTTCCTCAGGGAGGCTCTTCTTAAGCATGTTTCATGGAGCTGCTCCACCCCATCCACACACCAACTGGATATTCCAGGTGGTGCGTAATGACACGAGTTGGGGCAACCATTGTCTATAGACTGGTGGCTCGTATAATGGGGCAAGATTGTCTGTGCAGGGCATCACCGAACATGACTTCTGCTATCCCAAATCACTCATATACCTAATTTAACATTTGTGTATTTATCTTAATTCAGTTTTTACACAAAACAGTCCTAGGCTTAGTACCTCAGTCATGGAACTGACAATGTAATTCCAAAAGAAACACTCAAATGGTGGCAGATGAGCCTGAGCCTAGAGCTCTACCACTGCCAACTGCAATCCCAGGTAATCATCCTGGTTGGGCAACGTCCATCCCAATAACTTCTCTTTGGGATTATTTTCAGTATCCCCACAGTTCACTTTTTAGGTCAATTTGTAGACAATAGAACTCAAAGCTTACTCAGCTCCTTAGCCAGAGCGAGGCTAGGCATAAAGAGAAACTCAGACAGTGTAGCCCTTCCAGTATGCTTTGTCAGGTGCTAGGCAGGGTGTCACACTCATGCATTCCTTTTGCTCCCTCCATCTGGGTGCAGAACCACAGAGTCGTCCAGGCTTTCTGTGGCTGAGAAATTCATGGATGAGAACACCTCTGGGTTCTTTGTTTTTTGAGCTCCTGCATCTTCGCTCTGCATCCTGAGTTATTTGGTTCATCGGAGCTGGGGAGCCCTCTCGGCTGCTTCCATCTGGATCACCTGCCCAGAACCTCTGACATCCTGGGCATGCTTTTATTGTGTCACTTCCTGTGCACCTGCCTACAAACAGGGAGCACATACTTGTAAAATGGAGTGTCAGCAGCTCATGCTGTTCCATTGCCACAGATCCGGTGCCTGCAGGTAAATCATGCCTATCACTAGCTTTTACCAGGCTAGTCTCTCCTATAGGCTGAAGCCACTTGGAGTGGGCTTCACCCATCCCAGGGGGCACTCAACCCCCTTGCTGCGTCGTGCAGCCACGCCCCCCCACCAATTGTTTCTCCCCCTGAGGGGCCTCAGTGGCTATGCTGCTTGCTGCTAACCAGCTGGTAGGCAAAAAAGATGCCATATGTAAAACCATGGTTTTCATTTCCCTGCTGGTCAGGAGAGAGAGGCAGGAGGGGTATGTGGGGGAAGCTGCAAGATTAAAGGAGCTGCCACACAGCCCACTTCTGCCATGAATTTGGTAGGTCTCTACAGGTGACATAAATGGCCTACTAGGTGTACATGTGTCACTCAGGACAATTTTTGTCTATGTGAGGTAGTGATACATTCTGCCAGTTGGAGCTGAGTGGGTCATTGGACCCCAGCCATTATGCTCCAAGATCAACTCCAGGTGACACCACCATCATCCTCAAGTTGTACAGTTCTGTTCTGGTTCATCTCAAATTCTGTCCTGCTTCCAGACTATTTGCACTTGAGAAGTCATCCTCGCAGATCACTGAAATGCTTAGTGAGCAGCTGTAGCACAAGATGGCATGCACATAAGAAGACATCTATGTAATCAAAGACCTCAAACAATTTCTACTGAGCTGTAAACAAAGCAATGAACTTGTCTTCACAGGGAGGTTTTATACTGTCAGGTTTCAAGGTGCTCAAGGTAATCCCAGTTTGAGATTTCCTAAAGCTATAGAAAACTGAAACAGAACTTT